AAGGACTCCTATGGTCCTTTTGAAAGAATTATAGGACCAGTTTGACACTTTTTTTAGATAAAGGACCAAAATGGACCTTGGGGTAAACTTAAAGGACTAAAAAGGGTATTTTGCCTAATAATAACTATGTCTTATCCCAAGTGCATATGACCAATGCTTCCTGAATGAAAATTATGTAAAATCTATTTTGATTGTCATCTAGCTATGAAAAATATGTACCGTGTTTTATATAACCCAAAGGCTTACAAATACATAAAACATTTAGTTAAAATGAAGTTAAGTCTCACAAATACAAGCTATACTAACCGACAATGATCTCGATTCTTTTGGCGATCCTGATTTGCTGTCAGCTTTAAGTGTAATAAAAGCTAATGCAGTTCTTGCAATAGAATCATACCGTCAACTCAACTGCAAGCTCCTCAGCAACCTTGCACAAGAACAATGACTTCAGTCAACAAAGTTTGGAAGCAGATTCAAGGAAATAATAATCATCATAAATTATAAAATACATATTCAACATTCTCTCAGACACATGGTATGCTTATGTGAAACTGAAATACAACCAGATCAGATTCAAATTTTTTAGAATTTTTTTTTGAAATAACCAGGTATTAAATTTTTTTTCGCAAATAACCACATTTCGGAAAAAATTACGCAAATAATCATGTTTCAGATGACTCTCCAAAGGAGGAGCCATCTCACTTGGCGCCTCCACTAAGCATTTAGCCCTAGGCGCCATCTCACTTGGCGCCTCCTCTCTCTTTTAGCCAAGTGAGATGGCGCATGCACTTTAAAAGTGAGAGGAGGCGCCATTTCACTTGACTCCTAGGGCAAAATGTTGTTTTTATAAATAATTCGTCCGTTTCTCCGTCATTTCTCACACTTTCTCGCACTGTTTTCTTAATTTTTACTATGTTATTTGCGTCATGACATCGCCCATGATTTTTACCAGCGATGGTTACGTTATCTTCTCCGCCACAAAACCTGCGATGAAAATGAAATTCTGGCACATTCACTCCATGGAGCGTCTGAAGCGGGAGTTGATGCGATGGCTAGATGGAGACATCGTGGAGGGGGAAAAATTCGAAGGATCCAGCGAAGACGAACAACAACCTCACATGCGACAGGAAGACCTAATGTTTGGTTGGAGGAAGTCAAAACAGACAGCGACGTAATGTTGATGATGCATGGGTCCGATGATATTGTTTTAACAATTGTAATTTCGTAGACGGAATATCGTGTTTTTTCCTTGTACGCGCAATGTTTGTTGTAGCAAATACTGTTAACGAAAAACCCTAATGTTTACAACATAATTAAGGAAAGATTTTATGTAATACAATTTTTATGTGGTCGAGGCAGTAGCTCGATTCAGATAATTTTTGCGATTGTGTCTGACCTGACGACATAAACCACACTTTCTTTCCAGCTTGTCAAGGGAGTCCATTTCGGTTGTGATGCGCTTACTTTTGGGACGACCCTTTTTGTTCCTTCGCATTTGGTCATTGTGCCATACTATTTCGCCGTCGTATGCAGGCCAATAATCTGGTTTTGCTACCAAAGGGAAGCTGTTGTTGTAAACGTTGAGCAACATTTCAGATTTGTAAATGTGTGACAGAAGTTGTAGTGCGTTTTGATGAGTATAAGCATGCGCGGTAATGACATGAGAGCAAGGCATACGAAAGACTTGAAACTTCCCACAATCGCACCAACTAGAAGGTAGTACAACCCTATATTCTTGTCTTGGAAGGCCCTCGTTATGGTCGATTGTCTATTTCACAATGAAGTTGTGGTTGTGTCGGTCAAACCGTATAACCATATGGGTATTGGCTTTGGCACTTTCAGCCTTAATGTACTTCATGCAACTTTCACTCCATAGTTGCCCAGATTGCAACACCGCATTCCATATTTCACCTCTTTTGGCAAACAACGAAGTCATCCTAAAATACGTAGATTTTACCAAAGCATTGACCGGGAGGTTTCGTATGTCTTTGAATACCCCATTCATCGATTCAATTAGATTTGTTGTCATGTGCCCCCATCTTTGGCCATTGTCGTATGACCTAGTCCATTTTTCTACCAGAATATTGTCGATCCACCTACCGGCTTTCGGATTTGACAAACAGATCTCGTTGCAGTAATATTTAAATGTGGGTTATGTCAATGCATATCCCGCATTCATAATCGTTTTCCTTAGTTTTTTGTCTTTGATCTCCCTCGTGAAATTTTGGACGATATGTCTAACGCAATAGACATGCGTAGAAGGAGGGGCATGCCAACCGTTTGCAGGATTATTGTATGCACTTTCAATGGATGCATGTCTATCCGAGATCAAAGAGAGATCTGGTTGAGGAGCCACATGTGTCACCTAGCCTCGCCTACTATGCAATTACACTGTAACCTCTAAGGCTCCTCCCATCACGTCCAATAGTGTTACATGCATCCAGGAATGCCTTCTCCAAGACTGTCACCTAGCCTGCGCCTACTCTGCACCTACACTGTAACCTCTAAGGTTCCTCCCATCACCTCCAATAGTGTTACATGCATTCAGGGATGCCTTCTCCAAGGCTGTCACCTAGCATGCGCCTACTCTGCAACCCATGCCACCTCTTATTCGCCAACGGGGATGGCGACACCTTTCATTTTTGTACTCTTTCGCCAAGTCCAATGACGCCTCCCTTCACGTCCAATAGTGTTACATGTATTCCGGGATGCCTTCTCCAAGGTTGTCACCTAGCATGCGCCTACTCTGCACATACACTGTAACCTCTAAGGCTCCTCCCATCACCTCCAATAGTGTTACATGAATTCAGGGATGCCTTCTCCAAGGCTGTCACCTAGCCTGCGCCTACTCTACAACCCATGCCATCTCTTATTCGCAAATGGGGATGTCGACACCTTTCATTTTTGTACTCTTTCGCCAAGTCCAATGGCGCCTCCCTTCACGTCCAATAGAGTTACATGCATTCAAGGATGTCTTCTCCAAGGTTGTCACCTAGCCTGCGCCTACTCTGCAACCCATGCCACCTCTTATTCGCCAATGGGGATTGCGACACCTTTCATTTTTATACTCTTTCGCCAAGTCCAATGACGCCTCCCTTCATGTCCAATCGTGTTACATGCATGCAGAGATGCCTTCTCCAAGGCTGTCACCTTGCCCGCGCCTACACTGCAACAGTGACACTTATCATGCATGCACCAGCTACCACCTCACTTACTCTATGAATTTTTTTTGCCTATAAATGCTGAGCATAACATACTTCTCTCGCACCCACAATCGTCTCACTCTCTGCTACAAACTCTTTCATAATCTCTTATAATTTCTAAGTCTTTCATAATCTCAGGCATTTTCAACAATGACTCTTCTCACAATGGGCGATTCTCACAGAGGCACAAGAGACAATATTGCAGCATTTGTAAGTTTCTTTTATAGTTATACATTTTTCATACTTCTGGTAATGCTTTGTTCATCTTACTTAATCTTACACCTTTTACATTATTAACTCAGGATACCAAAAGATTCCGAATCCAGTCTCACAACTACCTTGCTCCCGACCCATTTATCGTACCATATCTGGAATACGCAGGTTTCAGACATGTTATAAAGATCTTCAACTGCACAATTGATTCAAAGTTCATACTTGCAATGTTGGAAAGGTGGAGACCAGAGACCCACACCCAACCACAATTCTAATCACAATACCAACACACTCGCATACCCCACACACAATTTCAGTCTTCTATATATCCCAATATGACCCCCTCAACATCCAACCTTAGCCCTGATATTGGAATGTCGGAAGATTATGAACCAACCGACCCAACTTACCATCAACCACAGTATCACCAAACCACCCAACATCCTCAATACCAAACACCCCAAGATCCATTTCCTTTCTACCCCCGCACTCAGACGATCAATGCTACAGACCAACCATGAAACCCCACCCACCGCCAACACGACCAAACTTTGAGGGTATGGGTAACCGACTGTACCAAAGCGGATCTTCTAGATATGAAGATCTGACTGATTTCATGGATCCAGAACGCATTGACTTCACTGGACCATCGACTCCGCCACAACAGGAAACGCGACGACATCTAGCACGGGAAAGACGAGGACGGGGATGCGAAACCGGGGGTCATTACCGGGTTCCGGGGGACCACTGATTAATCTGTTTTTTTATTTAATCTGTTTTTTTTATGTAATATTTATGGGTGTAATCATTTTTTGTAAATAAAATGTCAATTTTGTTGATCCTATATCGCATACGTAACGCACCGGATTGAAAAAAAAACGCGAAAATTGCCCTAGCAAATGCGCTAAGGCGCCATCTCACTTGGCTTAGGGCAAGCCTTAAGCACCTAGGCGCCAAGTGAGATGGCGCCTCCCCTTAAAAAGTAGGTGTAGGCGCCAAGTGAGATGACTCCTCCTTTGGGGAGTCATCTGAAACATGATTATTTGCGTAATTTTTTCAAAAACATGGTTATTTGCGATATTTTTTTTAATACCTGATTATTTCAAAAAAAAAAATTCAATTTTTTAACCCTTGAATGAAAATAACATATTAACCCCTTGAAATGTTAATGTTTTCACGGTATTCACAAAGAAATAGAAGGAGGAAAAAAACCTTAAACATGAAAAGACATGAAATCTATGAACAAAGACAAGAAATGTACCGTTTTTGCAAACGTGGAAACGGAAGGGCATATCGTAAATTAAGTGTTTCCATAGACCTATTTATTCTTATGGTAGATGAAATAAGTAGTACAATAAAAGAAACATTTAAATTTTAAACCAAAAACAAAATAACCTATGACAAACCACACTTGAGTCAACAAAAAAAAACTATATAAATATATAAAAAAGCACATGACTATTTATTTATCCACGACCCTTTGTATTACTCTAAAAAGTAAAAAAAAAAAACTTATATAAGAAGATAAAAAGCCCCGCCAACTGCACCATTTTCGCGCTCACTCTCTCCCACTCTCTCACCACGATGAATCAACCGCCACCACAACAACCACCTCCCGCTGTTCGTGCTCGTTGCGCCGGTTGCCGGACCTACTTTCACGCGGCGCAAGGTGTGACGGAGTTACCATGTCCGAAATGTCAAATGCCGCATGTATTCTCCATCGATCCATCCGCTGCTCGGATTCGATGTCCCGCTTGTAAAGCTCTGGTTAAAGGACCTAGTGACCTCTCGAAGTTTCCGTGTCCTCAGTGTCGAGTTGAGCTCGATTTTCTTGTTGATGGTGAAGATGTTAACGAGGTTTTTACTTTGACTATGGTTTTGGTTTTTTTTACTGTAGTTGATGATTTGATTTTGACCTAATTTTTGAGATTGGGGGAATTTTATGTAATGCATGTTGTGTTTCTGAGAGAGTGATTTTACATTGTTTCGGTGACTCGACTTCGTTAGTTCGTTTTGATTACTTCTGCTAGGTGTTGACTTAACCTTTCCTTTTTTGTATTTGTTGTTGTTGTTATTGTAGTAGTACTACTTGTTACTATTATATATGCGTTACGGTTACATTTACAAATGAGTGAGGAATGAGACTTCTGGATTCAACAAATACTGCATATATCGCTTATACCTATGGAGAAAATCCGTGTTTGTGTCTGACATTGACACCCTATGTAACTCTGAAAAAGGGGTGTCTTTGTCTGTGTCAGACACCTACACTGTTATATGTGATTACATTTAATTTTTTTTTCCAACATATGCATCAATATTTGTGATTATGTTTAATTTATTTATTTTTTCAAATTATTACCGATGTTGCTGTGTCAGCATCGAAGTCTTATTTGAGGTGTCCGTGATTCATAGGTGACAACAACACTTGTGGTTACGTTTAAATTATTTGTTTTTTCACATTATTATTGGTGTCACTGTGTTAATGTCAGTGTTGTGCTTGGGGTGTCCGTGTTTCATAGGTTGATTTTATTTTCATTATTGATAAGTACGGCAATGTTGTTCAGTGGGAAATGTTAAAATCAACTCAATAGTTGTGGTAGTGATTTGGTGATCTTGTTTTTTGGCACACGGATGTTTCATTTATTTTATCATATCCTATTTTTTTTTTGTTTGTGGGAAGGGAATAAGTATGAAAGGGTCTGGAGTTGTTTGTTATAAAAGTTTTATTCATTATAAAATTAAAGTTGTTTATGGGTCTTGGAGAGTGGTCTTCCATGGCAATGCTACATTGGACAACTGTTGTTCTTTTGCTTTTTCTTGGTTATATGAAAAGAGTAACACAGACTTTCTTGTTTCATGTTGGATTTTCACGAGATTAGTGTTCAGGTGTAGGCTATTAAAAAGTCTGCTAGCTGCATCCACGATAATGACTCTGTGGATGCATGATTTTTGAAAGGAACATTTCTTAAATTTAATGGTTTTATTGTTCCTACTATTTTATATCTTACTTTTCATAATAAAAGGAATTCATATGAGAGAAAAGAGTACAGATAGGATGATTGGAAATTTAGTAAATCTAGAATCTAAAGAATAGAGAAAAGTTAAATTGTTCCAAGTCTTTATAGCAAATATTGTCTCCATGCAAGTCTAATCTTGAAAAAGCCACAAAATATCCACGAGGAGAATCCCAGAGAGACGTTTCGAAACCAGTCTGTCTTAAAATGTGCAGGAGATGGATTTGGAATATGAAACTAAAAATAAATCAATGGATGACTTTCTCCTCTGTTATTTGTATATTTTCTTCAACATTTCAGTTACATTTTCTTCCTTTCTTTTATTTCCTCATGGATTGTGTTTGTCAATTTCTTTTTAAAGGTTTGCTGTCTTTGGAAATGTTGATTGTATATCTTATAGTCTTATTATCCTTGTATTTGTATCTCATTTTCTTTTTCAATATTAAAATATATCAGCTACTTAATGAAGTGGAGCAGGATGAAGATGATGGTGGTATGGCTGGAGAAACTTTTACAGATTATGTGAGTTAAAGACACTTTCCTCTAGAGAGCTGTTTATATCGAAAGTTTGTTTGGGTTAATTTATCAAACACCACATTTTATTGGTACCACGGTTTCTTGTCATGCAGCGACCAGCAAAGATATCTATCGGACCTCCACACCCGGATCCAATTGTAGAGACATCTTCCTTGTCTGCTGTGCAGCCACCTGAGCCTACTTATGATCCAAAGATTAAGGATGATTTGGAATGTTCAAAGACTTTGTCATGCTTGCAGATTGAGACTTTGGTTTATGCTTGTCAGGTTTTTCTCGCCACATGATTGAGTATTAATAATTACAATTCAACTTTCATATTTATGGTGCTTGTTTCTATGGCAGAGACACCTTCAACACGTTCCTAATGGTGCTAGGGCAGGGTTCTTTATTGGAGATGGAGCTGGGGTAGGTAAAGGTCGAACAGTTGCTGGGTTAATTTGGGAGAACTGGCACCATGGGAGGAGAAAAGCCTTGTAAGTTTAGGTCACAGTTTGAGCATGAAAACATGGGTGTGCTATTAAGAATTGAGATAAACATTCATTTTTCGATGTACTTTATTGGTCTTGCATGCATATACATGCTTGTTTATAATTTCAACTAGCAGTGGGTCTATGCATTGACTTTTCATTTGTTCTTTTCAATTCCTAATTTCATGTTTCAATGATCTTTCACAGATGGATTTCTGTTGGCTCAGACTTGAAGTTTGATGCCAGGAGAGATTTGGATGATATGGGAGCAAGTTGCATTGAAGGTATGTTTTTTGGGTTTGTGTAACTAAAATCCTATGATATGTTTAACTTCCTTGACAATTTGATGTCATTATCATGTGGTTAGCATAAAAAAATGTCATTAAACACCAATAGAAGGGGTTCAGTTTCAGTTGTGAAGGAAGAGTGAAGTTAGTAATAATGAAGTGAAAATTCTTTATTTTATTTACTTGATATTTTGCATATTTAGAATTATAATATGTATGAGTGATTCATGGAATTTTTTTGTCGACATTGCACATAAAACAATATTAGGATTTTTTACTTGATATTTATTTTTTACAATATGTATGAGTAATAATGAAGTGAAAATTCTTTATTTTATTTACTTGATATTTTGCATATTTAGAATTATAATATGTATGAGTGATTCATGGAATTTTTTTGTCAACATTGCACATAAAACAATATTAGGATTTTTTTTTTTGTATTTTGGGTGATTTATTATGCATTTAAATTTAAATATATTTCTTTCTTGAATATGTCCAGTGCATGCTTTGAATAAACTGCCTTATTCTAAGCTTGATTCAAAGTCTGTTGGAGTTAGGGAGGGAGTTATTTTCTCGACATACAGTAGCCTCATAGCGTCATCTGACAGAGGTCGTACTCGTATCCAACAGCTTGTGCAATGGTGTGGACCAGGGTTTGACGGTCTTATAATTTTTGATGAGGTATCAGACTTTTTAAAATGGAAATTATTCCTATAATCATTTGGTATTTCCACTGTTTAATCTTCACACCAGAATAAAATTGATATTTTCTTTGTTTAGTTTTGAAGAATAATTCTATTAAAGGTATTTCAAGTATTAATTTATATTTATTTACCCTTTATTGCTTAAGTGTGTGAGTGACTTCATTACAGTGTCATAAAGCAAAAAATTTGGTTCCCGAAACTGGTAAGAAGCCAACAAGAACTGGTGAAGTAGTACTTGATATCCAGGTTTGTGCATCTTACTATGTAGCTGAAAGCTTCTAATACTCTTTCTGTTACTTCAAATGATACTGATTTTAAGTTGAGATGGCATTCATTTTGGCCAGAAATATTTTTTTTTGTATACAGTTTCTTTTTCCATTTTGATCCTCTATTTCTTTTTCATGTGAACAATAATAATTTTATGCGGTGGTAAATTTTTTTTGTGATGATGAAATGTTTTTGTTGCTGTAGATGAGTACTACAATATTGGGCGTATTTTGCTAAATAGGTAGATTTAAGTAAATAAAGAACCATATCTAAACTAGGAACTATATAAAACACTTACAAAGATGATATGTTGTTTTTGTATTTCTACAAGACACAGCTTGCCCAATAAGCCTCTAGCTTAGAGGCGAATGAATGCAGTAACTTTTTTAACAGTGAATTTTTGTATGTAAATAAAGATCCTATAAGGGGCATTTAAAGTCTTTTAAACTGAAACCTTGACACAGTTAGCCACTAAGTTTTCTAAGATAAACCTCTTCCCTGTCTCTTTTCAATTCATTCATTCTCTCCCTTTGGTTTATACTCTAATTGTGTCAATGTTCATTTATAAATGAAATAATTAGTTATTTATTATTCCAAGTTATTTCAATCTAATTTGACAGGCTCGACTACCTGAAGCTCGTGTTGTTTATTGCTCAGCTACTGGTGCATCTGAACCTCGCAATATGGCTTATATGGTTCGCCTTGGCCTTTGGGGAGGTGGGACTTATTTCCGTGATTTTGGGGAATTTCTAGGTAGTATTTCTGTCTCATCTTTTCCTTTTGTTTTCAAAATAGTAACTATTGCTAGTCATCTTTTTTCTTCACATTTTTAGTTTTCTTTATTTCAAAAGATATACTAATGGAAGAAGATATGCTTCTGTAGTTGATCATGTGATTCGGCCACAGGGTATATTGTAAATTATAACAATTTTTAACGGTAGTTCAAGTTTTTATTTTCTGTTTTTTGTTCGTATGTAACATGCTACATGTGAAGATAATTGGATGAGTAATTAATAATTACTCATCTTTTTAAATCAATTGACACTTGATATTTAGGTTCTATTGGTTGGAAAAGATAGCTCTAAGAGTATATTTGAATCAAGAGGATAGTTAGTTAGTCATAAAAGAGACTGTTTGATTTATTTTCCATTTTCAATTGGTATTTTTTCATCATTATCAAAATAACTCAATCATGGTTTTATATTTAAGATTTTCTCCAGGAAATGGGGAAAACAACACTTGTTCTAATAATTTTCTGACAAAGATTCATGCAACATTTTTACTATTACAACGGATACATCAACTGAAAACAAAAGACAAGAAACAATGCAAACAGTTTTTAATATTTTCAGTTGTATTTAATTCATAGCATTGTTGCTCAACAATAACTTTTTGCGTATTTTAATGATTTAGACCAATAAGAACTGGACAGATAGATAAATGATATCTTGAATTGTTTAATATAGAAAATCTAGACTTCTTATTAGGTGTTAACTGACCTAATGCTTGTGATATTTGTGACACCAATGTTGAAAATCCTTGGAATATGATCTCTTCTTGCCCTTCTAATGTTTATGTGTGGGTTTAATAGGGGCTCTGGCATAGATTTTACTATTTTTGCATAGCTTATTATGGCAGTTATGTTTTTATTATGTGTCCGTAGGGAAATAGTTATGAGGTAGTTATTGAGTGATTATGGAGGAAGAGACCAAGCTCTCCGATTCTTGAAAGGGAGGGTCTGAAATTCTTGGATAAAATCTGTTTTGTAATAATGCACTTTATCTCTTTAGTTTATGTGTGAATTTTGTGTTCTCTAGTGCGTGCAATTCTGTTTCTGTTGTAAACGTGTTCTGCCATCAACAAAAGTCAGTTTCTCTATAACTAAACAGTATTTACGTACCAAAGTATTTCTGAAGAATATTTTTGTTATGAATAGAGTACATGCACTAATTTACTTATAAACGTTATGCCACACCTAACTACTGATTAAAGGACCAAATAAAATGATTACTTATGATTACAAAATATACGTCCACAACAACAACAATTACGCCTTATCCCATTAGGTGTAGTCGGCTACATGGATCAACTTTCACTATAATGTTCTATCAAAGATCATGTTTCTATCGAAATCATTAATTTCGAGATCCTTCTTGACAACTTCACTTTTTGGGTCTTCCTCTTCCTCAAATCATGTCTTCTCTCAATATGGTCTACTCTCCTTACTACATAGTCTACATGTCTTCTCTCTACATGTCCAAACCACCTAAGTCTATTTTCCACCATCTTCTCTATAATAGGCGTTACTCCAACACTCTCTCTAATAATTTCATTTTTAATTTTATCCTGTCGAGTCTTACCACACATCTACCGCAACATCCTCATCTCCGCTACACCTACTTTATTCTCGTGTTGGTTCTTAGCCGCTCAAGATTCTGTTTCGTACAAAATCGTAGGTCTTACCGCAGCCCGATAAAACTTTTCGTTTAACTTGAGCGGTACCTTTGTGTCATATAAAACACCTGATGTCTTTCTCTATTTCATCCATCCAGCTTGAATATGGTGATTTGCACCCCCTTCTATTTCTCCATCATTTTGTATTACGGATCCAAGATATTTAAACCATGTGACTTGAGGGATAATATGCTCTCCTACTTTCACTTCTAAGTTAGAAACCCTGCTTGTTTTGTTGAACTTACATTCCATATACTCTGGCTTACTTTTGCTTAGGCGTAAGCCATGTGTTTCTAAACCCCTTCTCCAGGTTTTCAACCTCTCATTTAACTCCTCCCTCGATCCTCCAAGGAGGACTATATCATCTGCAAAAAACATGCATCTCGGCGCTATCTCTTAGATTTGTTCTGTGAGTACATCCAAAATTAAAGTAAAAAGGTAGGGGCTTAGGATTGACCCCTGATGCAAACCAATTGTGATGGGAAAATCGTTTGTCTTCACCCTGTGTCCTAATATTAGTCGATACCCTTTCATACATATCTTGGATAGTTCGAATTTATGCAACCCTAACCCCTTTCTTCTCAAGAGCTTTCCACAGAATCTCTCTAGGCACTCTATCATACGCCTTCTCCAAGTCAATAAAAAATCAAGTGCAAGTCTTGTTGGTCCATTCGATATTGCTCCATCACCCGCCGTAATAGATAAATCGCTTCCATGGTCGATCTTCCTGGCATAAAACCAAATTGATTCTCAGTAACTTGAGTTTCTTTTCTTAATCTCCGTTCAATCACTCTTTTCCATAATTTTATGGTATGACTCATCAGCTTGACTCCCCTACAATTTGCACAATTTTGTATATCCCCTTTGGTCTTATAGATAGAAACTAAAGTGCTTCTCCTCCATTTATCCGACATGCGTTTTGACCTCATAGTTTCATTAAAGATTTTGGTGAGCCACTCAATACCTCTATCTCCAAGAATTTTCCACACTTCAATAGGTATGTTGTCTGGCCCCACCGCCTTAGCGTTACTCATTCTTTTCAACGCTTCCTTTACCTCCTGTTTTTAAATTCGATGATAGTAACTATAGTTCCAATCCTCTTCTCTTATGTCTAGTCTGCTAGAGTCATACCTATATCCATCATTAAATAAGTTGTGGAAATATGCCTTCCACCTATCCTTTATATCTTTTTCCTGCACTAAGAGTTTGCCATCTTCATCCTTAACACACTTTACTTGATCCAAATCTCTAGTCTTTCTTTCTCTTCCCTTAGCAAGCTTATATATAGATCTTTCTCCCTCCTTGGTTCCTAGAGATTAGTATAGTCCATCAAAAGCTTGGGTTCTTGCTTCACTCACTGCCTTTTTTACTTTAACTTTGCTCTGGACTCTTTCATTCCACCACCACGATTCTTTATCCCTAGGTCCAAAATCTCTAGATTCACCCAACGTCTCTTTAGCCACTTTTCTAATCTCTAGGGCCATCTTGTTCCACATATCATTTGCACTTCCTTGTGATTGTCCAAACCATCTCTCCAATATCTTTTGTTGGAAAATTCCTTGTTTCTCACTCTTCAAATGTCAACATTTGATCCTTGGTGCTACCATACGACTTCTTCTCTTTGCCCTTTCTTTAATTCTTACATCCATAACCAAAATTCTATGTTGGGTAGTCAAGTTCTCTCTTGGGATAACTTTACAGTTCAAGCAATACTTCCTATCAGACTTCCTGATTAGAAAGAAATCTATTTGAGAACATGTCCCCCCATGCACACTCTCAAAACCTCTTGCCATGCTACCTACATGTCCATTGAGATCCCCTCCTAGAAAAATCTTCTCTCCTTGGGGTATATCCTGAAGTACCTCTTCTAAATCCTCCCAAAATTTTATCTTAAGGTGTTCTGCTAACCCAACCTGAAGTGCGTACCCACTAATAACATTAAAGGTGTCTTGTCCCACTACAAATTTCAAGGCTATGATTCGATCTTCTACTCTTCTTACATCCACCACCTCCTTCTTCCACTCCTTATCCACAATAATCCCCACCCCATTTCTTGATCTCATTTTTCCAGTATACCAAAGCTTAAATTCCGAGTTGTCTAATTCTTTCGCTTTTTCGCCTTTCCACTTAGTTTCTGTAGGCACATAAAATTGATCTTCTTCCTAACCATAACATCCACTATTTCCATAGATTTTCCCGTGAGTGTGTATATTCCATGATCCAAAGCGAATCCTCTTATCATGAACTTGCTTCTTTACCCACACCCGTTCACGAAAATGTGGGAACCCTTGCTTATTTTTCACTACATCCAGGCAGCGATGCAGCGGCCCTTGCTCTTTTGACACTGTACTCGAGCCATACAATGCGTTGCTTATGGACAACGTAGCATTCATATTATTACGTAGTTGATCCATGTCATAGAGATTCGATAAAGTTTTACGTTGGCTGTCGAAAGCCTAACACAATCCTCTCATTTTATTCGGGCTTGGGACCGGCTAGGAATAGCAAAGCTAACCTAGGCAGGATTACAAAATATACGTTCAATAACTATAAATATGACATTAGCATTTAATATTTATAACACTTCCCCTCAATCTGAAGAATACAAATCTATCATTCTTAGTTTGTAAGTAAGTTGGCTGATCTGTTCTACTAGGTTTTCAACTTACTATTGCTGTACCACACAGAGCATTTGAGATATTGTTATTATTTAATTGTTTCTACATGCACTCGTGTTTCCTTCATTTGGCCATTGGCTCTCACCCTGTAATTGTTTGAAGTTAATTAACAAGGTAATGAATCCAGGTGCTCTTGAAAAAGGGGGGGTTGGAGCTCTAGAATTAGTTGCAATGGACATGAAAGCGAGGTAATATTTCTACCAACACACTCACTCCTAGCCTTATGCACTTGTATGTATCTGAAATGTATATTATATTGCTTCATTTTTTATTTATTTCAGGGGGATGTATTTATGTCGTACGCTTAGCTACAAGGGTGCTGAGTTTGAAATTATTGACGCACCATTAGAAGATAGAATGTTGGTATGACTGGAAAATTTCTTTGAGCATATTGATGTCTCTTTACTGTATTCTGAAGTGGTAATTGTCATTCTTTGTTAATAACAATTACCATTACTTGTTAGTTATTTCATTTCAATAGTCTCTGTAGATAATTAAATGAAGAAAGAAAAATTCCATCACCAAACTAGTAGTCAATAGTTGCTGGCTTGTGCTGGTGCGGAGTTGGATGAAAGGCTCTCCACTTTCCTAGTGTTTGTGGTCAAATGTTCAACTGTTCATTATTGGGGTGGAATGCCATGGTTGCATCTGGGTATGCCTTGGATAGTGCTATAGTAGTGGTTACAGTGTCATCTGAACCAGAACATTTATGTCATTATAGCTTCTTCATAAATATAGCCCATGGTTGATTTTCTTCCACCGACCACAAGACGATGCTCTCTAACAAGAGGTGCCGTGGCTTTGAGACTACGAATCACAATTCCAAAATGAAGTAAACAATCAGTGTACAGCTGCTGCGACGTCTGTTCTCAGAGGCAATGCTTTGATATCAATGAAGTTTCATCAGTTTCCGTGAGTTGGGTGTTGGTTTTAATAAATCAGTATCAAAGCCTCCCTATATAAGTTGTTTATACTCCGCTCATTAGAAATAAACGTTCTTCTAAGATTTTCTTTCTCTTTATGAAGCTTTTCTAATGATAGAAAGGATAGAAAAATCAAATTTTGAATGCCTCATCAAACCCCTCTTATCTGTGAAATTTCTCAACAAGGTACTAGAATGGCTGTAGATAAACCTGACAAGAGAAATCCCTCCTTATTTAGTCGTCTTTAAGGATCAACTCTATGCAGTGGGTAATCCCCCCTTATTTAGTCGTCTTTAAGGATCAACTCTATGCAGTGGGTAATCTATGGGGGTATTTGTTTCAAGTCTTGGAGTCACATTTATGGGAATACATGGGGTAGGGAATGAATATACCCATGTTTGTTGCAAGATTAAGAAAAATTATTGCCAAGTACAAAAGTTTTTAGGAATGGGATAACTTCCCATAATTTCCAATATTCCCATGAATGTCGAGCTCCCCCCTCCTCTTTGCTTTGGTCACACCTCTTTTTGAGCATCCTTGCATTTGTCTCCTTTTGTAGACTTCCTACATTTGGCCAAGGAGGTACGGGATACTTGATTTAGTCAAGATTATGTCTGTTCACTTCTAAAGAAACATCCTTAGAAGAATAGCACTGCAATCAATTCTATCATTCCATCTTCCTTCCACTTTCGCTTGTTGATGAAAATTATTCCACCCTTAGTTTCAGTACATGTTAATTGGTTTGGCTTTAGTACATTGCGAAGTGATGGGTTCATCTCAAAAGCATTGGCAGCAACTGAAAGATGGGCAATTGCCATCGCTTTCTCTTGTTCGTGAAAGCTATTCTATCTTCAGCTGCTGTGCAGATAAAGTTATTTAGCTTCAGTACATTATGGGTTGTTTTCAAAAGCATTGGCAGCATCTGATTGATAACGACTGCCAATCTCCAACAGTTGTTCCTGCACCTTAATCTCCCAGCTATGTGGTGATTGCTTACCCATTAATTCAACCAAAAGGAGTACGGTCCTAGTGGTTGCCTTCATCCACTGTAGTAGCCATTGGACGATGCTCAAACATTGTTAAGCTATTAGAGTAGAAGATACTCTTGTGATTTACACTGTGTCTTTTATGGATCATCTACCTATTTTAAGTATATTTCCACATGCTCAGCACCCATATCTAGACATGGCAATAGGGCGGGGCGGGGACGCTTTTTGTGTTCCCCAAACCCAAACTCGAATTCAAGATAAATCCCCGTAACCCGCCCCAATCCCCGTCGGGGATGAATAATTGAATCCCAACCCCGTCCCAAATGGGTTCGGGGATCCCCGCCCCGCCTCCAAATCCAAAAACTTCCCCAAACCCAAAATTCACCCCGAACCTAAAACCTGCCTCAATATTAACATATTTAACTTATATTACAAATATAAAATACAATCTCGAAGAATTTTAAACATATATTTCGAATAATAAAATACTAACAAAAGTATTAATTTATCAACCATACAATTAATATTTCAAATTAACAAACCAAATAATCCAAAATATAAAAACTAAAAATATTGAACATCATTGTCTATGAAAATTGCTAACAAAAATAGATAAGTGGCCAACACCAATATTGTCTTATTTCTTTCTCTAAATGCTATTATCCATCTTCAAAGAGGGAAATAATACCACTAGTTAATATTTCACCTATATAAAAAATACAAATTAAAATACAAACATTAACAATAAATAAGAATACAAGTCAAAACTTAGTTACTCAAAAGAAAATTTTACCTTCATCGGGCTCTATTTCATTGAGTAAACTAGAGTCATTGCTTAACTTAGAACTCATACCACCTAAAAATATGAAACACAATACAATATAAATAGCAATCAATTAACAAATACAAAATTATATATCATTTTACAAATACTCCTAACATACTGGTTTTTATAATTAACCTATATATATTGATACATGAATAATAATAATAAACACCATAGAAAAGATAGGTATCCTATAATATTAAAAAGTTTCTATGTAGCGGCATATAATTGTGATACTCTAGCGGCATATATTGTTAAATCATATATGTTACAATATAATAATAATAATAATAATAATAATAATAATAATAATAATAATAATAATAATAATAATAATAATAAACGGGACGGGTTCGAGGTGGATACTACACTCCCCATTACCCGCCCCGTCCCCATATCTTGAAATCGGGGAAAACCCAAACCCAAACCCAAACCCAATCAAAGCGGGTTTTCCCCGTCAAATTCGGAGCGAGTTCGGAATCACGGGTATGGGTTATATTGCCATGTCTACCCATATCAAAGAGTGTATTTTTTTAATCAAGCAAAGCTCAATGATAGATTGTTGCCTTATGATAGTTTACGGGCATGCGGACTTGAGTCTCTTTCAATTGCTGCATCAGTTTTGTGTATTAAGCTATGTAACAAAATTAATTTTAATAGAATTTTGACATCATGGTCTATTTGGTAGTTCAGATCTGTAATTTGTTTTTCTCATTCATTTGTCTTTTGAATTCAGTACTCTCATCGGGGATGTATGTTCTTATCAAATTTCTTTTAAATTCAGTATTCTCATCTGATGATGTATGTTTTTTTTTTCAAATTTCGTAGGACGTGTATAAAAAAGCTACAGAAGTTTGGGTGGATTTGCGTGAAAAGTTGCTGTCTGCCATTGCCTTACTACCTGAGAAACCTAATACTAGGCAACTATGGAGACTTTACTGGGCAAGCCACCAGGTATTAAGTCAAAGTTGTTCCTAGAGACAAGTTCTTCATGTCTATTAGACATTTATTATTTATGGAGGTTTTTGGACTGTCCCTTTTCCTGGTAAAACTGTAGCACTTCTTCAGACACTTGTGTATGTCTGCTAAAGTCCCTACTGCAGTGAGATTGGTGAAACAAGCATTAATGGAAGACAAGTGTGTAGTCATAGGTCTGCAGAGTACGGGGGAAGCAAGGACAGAGGAAGCTGTTTCAAAATTAGTGTGTATATGGATCCTTTTTCATTTAATTTAAAGCAGTCTTTCTCGCGTTTCAGATGGCATTATGTGCTATTTTTATTGTATTGGGTAGGGCTATGAACTTGATGACTTTATTTCTGGACCCCGTGAGTTGCTGCTAAAATATGTTGAAGAACATTACCCATTGCCCAAAAAGCCTGAACTTCCCCCCGGTATTTACATGCAATGTTTTGTAATATATGTTTCATTTATTTTCATTATTTTGTAATCAGTTGTTTTTATTTTCATTTTGATTATAACAGACGATAGTGTAAAGGAGCTTCAAAGGAAGAGGCACTTGGCAGGTTCTGACGTTTCAGGAAAATCTAGAGTTAGAAAAGTAGCTAAGTGTCAGGCTCCTAGTGATACTGAAAGTGATGAAGAATCTGAATGTGAGTTTCAGGCAAATTTTGACTAATCTTTTGCAGCTATCATTCTTTTTTGTCACGCTTCAAGTGCACATGGCAACCCTTTTTCCTAATCCATCAAGCACTGGGGCCGGCCCAACATGTTTAGAGGCCTAAAGCCACTTTTAAAGTGAGACCTTTAAAATATATTTAAAAAATTAATTCTTGTGGTTGTCAAGTATTAACCAAAGACCAAAATGACTTGATGCCTTAACCCACTCAACCATTAGAATTAATGTAAAATATGTCATTTTATATATTTATAACTAAATTGAGCTTTTTTGAGGCATTTATTTGTCTCAAAATTTTAGGCTTGCTTGGGTCTCCTTACCCTTGGGCCAGCCTTGAAGCACGGACACCGGCCACTACCACTGGCACGTCTACACCGGTAATAATTGGAAAAAGATGATAAATTAAACATAGCACATATGTTGGTGTTGGACACATGTTGAACCAACACATGATGGACACCGGACATGGCTTTACTCAGGTGTCAGTGCTATAAGGCTCCTAATAAATTAATGCAGACTTATTCACAGCCTTATATGGGGCGAGCAAGGGTGGTGATCAAGTTTATTATTAAAAAGTGGGTGCTGATCAACTTTGTTATTAAAAAAGTTATTCAATTTATTAAAATACAATAGTTTCTAAAATTCTATTATTTTTTGTAAACCGTTTTCAATGAAAGAATTTATTAAGAGTGGCACCTATGGAATTGATCAGAACAGAAGCACAAAAAAGCAAGCACAATGGCCATTTTTCTACTAGGATATTTTCATTTAATTAAATTGGGTAAATAAAATTTGGAGACCACAGTATGTTCTTTTTGTCCATTCTCCCTTTTAAATTTATTGCTTATTAATATTAAGAATAAAAACTATTGTTTATATAAACAAGTAATTAAATGTTGGGGTTTGAGAAGAGCTGCTATAAGAGGGCTATTATTGATAGTATCAAAAGTTTTCTTATAGTGTTACTATGTTAGTAATATTCAGTCACATCAACATTAAATGATATCTTTTTAATTTCACCATTGGCTTGATGCAGCTGCCTCTGTTCCTGAATCTTCTGATTCTGATTACGGACCAGAAGGGGATGAAAGCGGTGCGTTGTCTATCTCATGTTATAATAGATTAACAATCATTTCTATTTTTGTACTAAAGTTGCTTGGGCAAATAACAGAGTTCACCTCTTTTGTTATTCGGGTATTATTATTGTTATCATCAAGAGCTATTGTGCATGTCGACTTACCTGCTATTATGAGGAGGAACTGTTAAATGAATGCTGTTTATGATTTGACTGTCTGAAGTTCTATTAAATCAGTGATTTTAGTATTCAGTAGATCAAAACCGTCTTGGTAACCATTTGATTTTGCCATTGATTTAATGCAGCTGCCTCTGGTTTTGAATCTTCCGACTCTGATTTTGAGGAGTTTCAGAAATGTGAAATTTGCAGTACTGAAGAGGTAATTTTTATTTAATTATTCTGATTTTTTTTTGAATTTCCTGCCATGTGTAGAATTCATATATTTTTCTGTGCAGGAAAGGGAAAACTTGTTGCAGTGTTCCCAATGTGGAAAATACGCTCATCACTCATGCGTGGTGCCTCCAATTGTCGATTTTGTTCTTGAGGAATGGGCATGTCATTTGTGCAAGGGTAGAAATGTTGAATATTTCCCTTCTGGAACGAACATAGTTGAACTCCAGAAGAGGTTTAGAATTTAGATAAATTGTTTTGATTTGGCTCTCTGGTTTCAATGGCATAATTCTTAATTATATGTTTCGATAACTAGCTTTAGTAACAACTTTAAGCCATTTTTTAAATCAATCGAATCTAGTCTGCAAAAAGTTAGAAATAAAAAAAAGTGACAGTGACAGTGATGAATTTTTTCACGGGTTTGCTGCAGTTATGACACCGCCATGGAGTGCAAGAAAAAAATATTAGAGAGGATTCATGCTTTGGATCTTCCAAACAATCCCTTGGATGATATTATTGACCAGGTAATAATCAATCGTTGGTTCATCCTCATCTTCACCTTTAAAGGTACATTTCTTTTTTAGGGCATTTTGTTAACTGTCATTAGGTAGATGACAGCTAGTATGCTAGTCCCATAACAATTATGCAATAAAAGATGTCTGTTGTAGCAATTCTATGCTTTGCAACTAATGCTAAATGCAAAAGTGTAGATGTTTTACTAGACTATAAATGAATTTTTGATGCAGTTAGGAGGCCATGATAAAGTTGCAGAAATTACAGGAAGGAAAGGAATGCTTGTGAGGGCCCCTAGTGGAATGGGTGTTGTTTATCAAACTCGAAATTCGTGAGTTGCAAAATGTCTCTGGATCTAATTGATAAACATCGTTTAATGCCAGCTGAATTAGCTTCTTGTGCGTTTCCTTTTAGAAAAGATGTAACTGCCGAGATGGTTAACATGCATGAAAAAAAGCTCTTTATGGAAGCTAAGAAGTTAGTTGCTGTCATCTCTGAAGCTGGATCAGCTGGTGTTTCGCTGCAGGCAGACAGAAGAGTGAGAAATCAGGTAATCAAACTGTTTGGAAATATTTCTATCCCTTGAATCACCAGCTTTTTTGGTCCTATTATTTTGATGTTTTTTGCAAAGTTCTACTTTTGTAAACTTTACAATTGCTTTATGCTTCTTTTGCTGTTTTTGTTCCCTTTGACCTTTACAAAAAAAGAAAAGAAGGGTTCACTTAACTCTCGAACTTCCATGGAGTGCCGACCGAGCAATTCAGCAGTTTGGAAGAACTCATAGATCAAATCAAGTCTCAGCACCAGAATACAGGTCACTAAGCATTATTGATTAATTTGGTTTTTGAATTTTGTATAATGATATATTTTTAACACCTGTTTGCTTTCCTTTAGTGAGCTTCTAGCTCAGATTAAGCATTGTTTAAGGTTGTTGAGCGTACTAAGCATTATTGATTAATTTGGTTTGAGTGCACTAGTCTTCATGATAAAATGAGTTTCATCGTCTAAAATAATATCGTTAATAAAGTTGCTAGGTGGATTGATATATGATAGAATCAACTTAATATCTTAAGTACAGTAAATAGAAAGTAAGAGAATCCAGTAGGAAAGTTCTGATTTTTATTGAAAATAACTAGAGTTCATATGGGATCTAGTTGTACAATCAAAGCAGAAAAAATGCAGAAAGGTGCAACAAAGTATGCAGAGAAAAGAAAATAGGATAGAGGCACTTATCCACTAATTTCTGCGTACCCACAAAAGAGTGAGTGTTCAATCATTTATTGACTCACTCCTAGATTCTATGACCACTCAGCTGTTGCCAGCTGTACATCCCATGTGCCATTACTAACAAACTTTGTCCTATTCTCTCTCTCTCCCCTTCTTACGTTTTCTCTCATAGAACCTTCCATACCTACCAATATACAATATATAAAAGTATTTGTGGAAAAAAGTAATTAATGCTTCATAAGTGTTCTAAAAGGACAAATAACGAGAAAAGAAAATATTTCAAATGTGACAATTAATATTTCAAATATTTCACTAAGAACAGAAAAATAGGAATGATTTTATTAATGGTACCTAGAGAGTACAATTCTCCTACCGAAGTCCAAGGCTCCTACTATTTAATTTGCCGAACTATCAATTTAGTCCCTAAACTATCACCCCTTCTCCAATTTAGTCCCTAAATTTTGTAAAAAATTAAGTAGTCCTTAAAATATGGAAAGTCATTCAATTTAGTCCCTGCTATTAAGATTTTAGAGACTAAATCGACGGATTTGATGGTCTATTTTAATTGAATGTGTTTCCCCAGAAACTGCCTTCCCACTCTCTACCCTTCTCCCATGATGCCTACTTATACAGCCACATCAGCAATTCCCCATCACAGAAAGTTTCCTCGTTGTCCCCACCTCCTTCTAGAATATACTTTCCGTATAGGTGGCTTGATATGACCCACTGGTTCAATAGTCAATCCTCCTCTATCTGGTGTGAACTGTATGATACTATGCCATGTAAATCTTTTTGAGCTAAGACGGAAGCACTTTAGATCTTATTTCTTATCCTTATAAATGTTCTTCAGGATACTATTTACAAATCTTGGTGGAGAACGCCGGTTTGCATCAGCTGTTGCTAAGAGATTAGAATCCCTTGGAGCTCTAACTCAGGGGGATCGCAGGTAAGTTGGATTCCCTGTTTTTTTTTTTCAGTGAGCCAACATGGATAAATTTTAACACCTTAATCAATGATGTTCCTTTGTTCATTGCAGGGCTGGACTTTCGTTAAGTGCATATAATTACGACAGTGCTTATGGGAAGAGGGCTCTGATGATTTTGTACAGAGGAATAATGGAGCTGGTATGTGGTTTTTGTTGAAAATAACAAATGTGCATATTGACAATGAGTTTAATAGGAAACAAACAAGTTGAATCCATCTACTGATAAGTAATTATGTAGGATCCTCTTCCTGTTGTACCTCCAGGATGCTTATCTGACAGACCAGATACAATTCAAGGATTTATCAAGCAGGCAAAATCTGCTCTTGTTTCTGTTGGAATTTTAAGTGATTCCATTCTTGGTAATTCATTATTTTAAGCTTCATCATTGACTGTTGTAAAGTTTATGATGCCGCATTCCTTGTGTTTTCATCATTTTTAAATGTTGACTTCTTATATTTGAAGGAGATGATATTGACCCTCGGTGGGTATCTTGCCACATTAATGATAAAGATATACATGATATTGGACGATTTCTAAACCGGCTTTTGGGAATAGCTCCTGAGACTCAGAATAGGTTTGTATTTTGTGAATGAAATGATTTGATACCTCTACTTTCAGCATTTGGTTCAATACACTAACTTTTTCTGTACCAACAGGCTATTTGAGTTATTTGTGAATATCTTGGATCTTCTTGTTCAAAATGCTCGCATCGATGGTAACCTTGACACAGGCATTATTGACTTGAAAGCTAATGTAATTGAACTGCAAGGGACTCCAAAGGTATTTATTTTTGTCCTAAACTTCTTGCTGCCACCCATTTTCATGTGTTACTTGTATAGCAAATTTAAGACTGAAGATAACTTTCCTTTGATGCAGACAGTCTATGTTGATCAAATGAGTGGGGCTTCAACTGTTCTGTTCACATTCATTTTGGATCGCGGTGTTTCGTGGGAGGTACATACACTTTTTCAGATGTCCTCCTAACTAAATTGTACTCAACTATAATCGACATGTTTTGTTGATATTATTTACACATCAGTTGGCAAATACCATGCTGAATGAGAAGCAGAAGGCTGGATTTGGTTCATCCGGTGATGGCTTCTACAAGTCCAGGAGGGAGTGGTTGGGAAAACGCCATTTTATTTTAGCATTTGAAAGGTATCATTTCTGGTTTTTGTAGTACTTGTTATTCAATTTCTCAATAAATAACTGTTTATTTTGTCCAGCATTTTTAGAATTTCTTTCTCATTGATTATTAATTGCCCAACATTTATTCCCATGTAACATTGCTTGTTCTATAGTTTTAACTTGAATTGTATGGTAAATTTCATGTAATCTCGAGTGACTATTTTCTATCACAATATAAATTACGCTTGAATCCTATACATTACATCTATCTTTGTTTCTGTCATAGCATTTACATTCCATGTGTTTTATTTTTACACTTTGTTTCTGTCCATTTATTTATTTTCTATATACAAAAATATGGATTGTGACAATATCTCTTGGATGTGTTGAATAAACACGATTAATCCGAGATAAAAGGATAAGGGCTCAAAGGGATAAATTTCTTGTGTCATGATACTAAGAAAGGATCAGATAAATTAAATAAATTTATCCCTATTTATGTCTGACTGATTGATTAGTCTCTCAATTTCTGAACTCAAGAAATACAGTTTCTCAAGATGAATCGGTAGATATTGAGGGGACACATTCCTCAGTCAAATACATAGTAAAACTTTCTGGTTTCATTTACTGATGTCATTATGTTTGTTCTTCTTTCTGTTCTAGTTCTGCTCCGGCTATGTATAAGATAGTTCGTCCCCCTGTCGGAGAATCACCTCGGTATGTATTTCAGTTACTTGGCCTTCTTTTAATTTTATTTTATTCTTTACCCATTTTCTCCCGTGCAATTGTAGGGATATGCATCTGGCAGAGTTAACTAGAAAATATTCAAAAGTTTCATCTATAGAGGAGGCTCAAAAAGGCTGGGAACGCGAATATAAAGTTTCATCTAAGCAGGTATACATACCATACGTTATCTCATGATTGTAACTTTATGCAAGGAACTGATAAGAACATAGTTCACATTGAACTATTAAGTATTTAAGAATGAGAATAATCCCCTCAGAGAGACTAGCTTACAGTTGAGACAAATCTGAATATGGAAACCAGTAAACAAAACTAAGCAATAGAAAATACAATTAAACAGAATGATAGGATTCCCCTTTGTCAGGCCAGCATGTCTGCCCAACCAAATTCACCAATGTCTCCACTCTCAAATGGTTACCAATATCATACTTCCTCATCCCCTCAGTGATTCCTGTCCCCCTTGTGGTTGTCTTGCTTCTCAAATGAATTATCCCCCTCTAGCTGGATACCTCCCATCTACCTTCTCATAAACTTTCTGGCCTTCATCATTATCCGGGACCCTCTTCTATAGAAACACCTTGTTGCTTGTTCAGAACTTGTAGTCTAATTGGTACACATGGAACTAAACCACACATTTATTCGCAGTTGTATGATAAAGTTGTATTCTACCTTGCTGTATCATCTATGGAGTTTAGAATCTAATCTATCAATGCCTGTGCTATATGCACTTTAGTGTGCCTCACTCATTTAGTCACTGGATGAGAAAATATGTAGATTTTTCAAATTCACATTATCTCAAATTTTGACTTGTAATCTTACTGCTTTTGTTGTAGTGCATGCATGGTCCCAATTGTAAACTTGGTAAAATCTGTTCAGTTGGCTTAAGACTACAGGAAGTAAATGTCTTAGGTGGCGTTATTCTTCCTGTTTGGGGAAACATACAAATGGCTCTCTCTAAGCAGGTATTTCACCAACTCATATATCATTCACGGGGAAGATTATAATTTGCTGTAGCTAAAATTATTAATTGACGAATGATGTATCATTTTGTCACTCATATCTTTTAGATTTGATTATTTGAGTTTTGAATTGGTCATGTTGGCAATGTGAAAATTGTAATTGATAGCTTTTGTTGTGATATAACATGATATAACTAACTTTTCAGCAACCTCGCAACTGAAAAACTTTCTTTATCATGAATAGTATGCTGATTCTGTTGAGCGAATGGTGGATTGTTTAATCATTGGAGTATTATACGTTGCATCAAATTGGAATATTATTTTATTGTGCAAGAGAATTCTAACAGAAAATAAAAATATGTACAGGCCCGGCAAATACATAAAAGGCTCCGAATTGTTCGTGTTGAAACTACATCAGATAACAGACATATAGTTGGGCTTCTTGTCCCTAATGCAGCTGTTAAAACTGTCCTTCATGGTCTCTTTCTCTCTCTACCCCTACACACACTGCCTTTTTGCACACTTGCACATATACATATTGTTTCTTTTTCTTTTTATATTTTTGTTACAAAAAAACTCACGCTCAAACAGAAAGGAAAGGACTGACTTTTGTTCCATTGGAAGACTTCAACATTAAAAACTTAATAATATTAGTTTTCCTCAATTATTCTTATTCGCAATGTGATTACATATACTTATATATATATATATTTGCTTTTGACATCTTCTGTAGGTTTAACTTGGGTTATAGAACTGGATGATTGACCGGAGGCACTAGCCACCTTCCTTTTTTGAAGATCAGATCTGAAGCACTAGGCGTCTCCCTTTTTTGAAGAACACGACATTTTTTGTTTTAGATAAAAGCTTAAGCTTGCTGGTGAGTTTTGCAGAAAGAAAAGTCCATTGTTCTCATTGATATCAGTACAGTTGTGCAACCTCCATTTCAATATTTTGATTACATCATCAAGTGTGTATAATTCAAAATTGTATAACTATATGGGTGATTACTGACATAGACGGGTTCCTTTCAAATATGATATATGAACTGAATTGCATCATATGCCACACATTATTTATTGAAAATCATATGCTGCACATTATTGATTATCAGAGATAAAGTAAATATTTGTTGATTGTACGAAACTTATAAAAGTACTTGAAAATCAACATAAGATGTATCACTTTCATATCAGCAGACAAAAGGAGCACTGGCATGGTCGTCACTGCAATAAAGTCCAGGCTTCTGAGTGTAACCCTGCCTGTGAAGTTTCTTCCTAGCCTTCAGCACAAGCTGTCGATTTGTTACCACACCACCAGTCTCTGCAATTATAGCTTGTATGGCATTGCTAAAAGCCCCATAAGCTTCATCAGGATTTCCATGTGGACTAGCATCTGCAGAAGTTTGATCAGTTTGGCAACCACTCAGTAGAATTCCACGCTCAACAATGTTATGCTTAGTTGATGTAGCATATGCTTCTGGTGTATGATCTTCGTTCTCCTCGTCACTGTCACTCAGCTTATAGTTGAGAAGCCCTTGGGCAAGATTGTTCACAAGCCCCAAAATTCCACTATGGCCTCCACTTTCATCACCTACCAGTTGAAATTTGTTCCAGAAAAACTTGATGAAGTTCTTCACTTTAGGACTAGCATCTTCCCCAAAGATATAAAATAGTGTAGGCCTTATCTTTCCAATTTCTACATCAACCTCTCCAGTTTTCTCCTTTAGTATGTCAATAAGAGTTGTAAGAGACAAAGACCTATTCTTCACATAACGGTAATCCCCATGATGAAGTTCACCGTGTTCTTCCTCAATATCACGAGACTCATCTTCCCCATTTCTATGAAGGAAGTTTTTGAAGCCTGGAGATGAAATAGGTTCTCCTTCCTGTGTGCTTTCTCCTACTTGCTCCTTTGCTAACTCAATTAATCCACCACTGTGACAAGAATCAGATACAATTGTGATCTTACAATCCTTAGGTACCTTTGCTACAAACTCTCTGAAATCTTCATCTGTTTGGCAACCAAAATAACTATTAGCATCGTTTGAGTATATCATTTTGCAGTATTTTAGCCCTTATATACCAACTCAAAAGTACAATAGTGTTTAATAATATTTTTGTTAGAAATAGAATATTTTATATTATAAGTTTCTATTTCCAAGCGTTATATTGTAAATTGTAATCTTGTTATAAACTTTAAAAAATCCATAGAAAACATCCAACTTTTTTTCTTTTGGTTCAACACAGTAGTGAAGTTAATAGCAGAGTTGTCAAAAGTGGCCGTAGCGGCCGCTATAGCGGCGCTCCGTAGCGGAGCGGTGGCCTCCCGCGCGCTAACATGGGGCGGTAGCGGAGATGGGATAGCGGCTGCTTTTCATGACATAGTGGATCGCCTGTTGCGGGTTTTTCCCGGGCGGAGCGGATCTGCAGTTTTTCTTTTTTTTTTTTAAATTTTTTTAAACAAAATTACTGTTTTGCCCTTATTATTTTATAAAATAATATGTAAAATAGTTTGTTATAACTCACATTTCTTTCTTTCTGCCGTTCGTTTCTTTTTCTTCTCCTTGCCCTACCGTTCCGCTTCTCCTTTCTCCTTGCCCTACCGTTCCTCTCTCTGCCGTCTCCTACTGTTTCCAGCTTTTCTCTGCCGTCTCTTCTCCTTTCTCCTTGCCTGTTTCCAGCTTTTCTCTTCGCCGTTTCTCGTCGCCGTCTCTCTTCACCGTTTTCACCGTTTCCGTTTCACCTTTCCAGCAAGCGCTCTTCTTCTTCTTCTACTTAGCCAATCGGTAAGGTACAACTCTGATTCAACAAGGTACACTTCTTCTATTTACATGTGATACACTTTCCAGTTTCACCGTTTCTAGTTTTTTTTTCCTAAGCCAGCAAGGTACAATTGGAAAGGGGGTAGAGTTAATATACTCCAACCCCACTGTGCTGACTCAGCATAACAATGCCACATGCCCTTTCTATACTTATGCCATGTGTAAATGTACCCTTTCTATACTTATGTCATAATCCATATACTCTAATACTTCTTCACCTTTCCAGCAAGCCAGCAACATACTGTTTCTACTTTTTTTCCTATCTATTCTAGTCCTTACTTTTTTTGTTTCTTTTCTAGAAAAATATGGCAGCTTCTTCGTCGACACAGTCAGTAGCTTCATGTGCTCTAACATTCAAACCAACCAATAGTAAGGACATAAGATGGAAATACAATCATTTGAAGAATTTGAATGATAGGAAGAAGGTGACATGTAATTTTTGCAATTTAACCAGCAGTGCGGGAATAAGTAAAGCCAAAAGGCATCAATTAGGAATTACCGGTGATGTAATTTCTTGCACGAAAACACCTGACAATGTTAAGGCTATATTACATGCTGACATGGTTGATAAAGAGAGAATTAAGAAAGGAATACAAGAGATTTCAGTGCAATTGGATGCGGATGATACAATTGATATTGAGGAAATACGTAGAATTCGAACCAGAAAGAGGATTTCGGAGAGTGAGAGCTCTTGAATTGCTTTCAAGAAGACTAAAGGACCGTTGGATTTGGTGTATAAGAGTAAGGACACAAGCATCAACGATGCGTGTGATAAAGAAGCGAGGGCAAGAACCATTCAACATATTGGTCGCTTTTTTTATACGTGTGGGGTTGCTTTTAACGTAGCACATGCAAGAACTTTTAAGTTGATGTTGAAAGCCGTTGGAAGTTATGGTCCTCATTTGAAACCGCCAAGTTATCATGAACTCAGGGTTCCAATCCTTCAGAAAGAATTGGAATATACAAAAGATTTGTTGAAAAACCAAGAGGTGCAAAGGAATAAATATGGATGTTCAATTATGTCGGATGGTTGGACAGATAGAAAAGGTAGAACATTGATTAATTTCTTGGTCAATTGTCCGGCGGGGACCATGTTTGTGAGAAGTGTTGATGCATCAGACTATGCCAAGACGGGGGAAAAGCTAGCCGAATTGTTGGACACTTTTATTGAGGAAATGGGTGAAAAAAATGTTGTTCAATTGATTACCGACAATGGAAGTAATTATGTAGCGGCGGATAAAATATTGTGTTTGAAGAGGCCTCACATGTTTTGGACTCCATGTGCTGCCCATTGTATAAACCTTATGTTAGAAGACATAGGCAAAATTCCAAAGGTTAAAAAGGTTATACAAAAAGGGGTTAAGGTTGTGGGCTACATTTATAACCATACTTTTACTTTAAATCTAATGAGAAAGACTACCGGCAATGTTGAATTGGTTAGACAAGGAGTGACAAGGTTTGCTACCCATTTCCTTTGTCTACAAAGGATGCAAGAACTAAAAGGCAAGCTTAGAGAGATGTTTCTTTGTGAAGAATGGACGACTTCCAAGTGTGCCAAAGATGCCAAAGGACAAAGGGCAGCCACTACTATACTTACGGCTTCATTTTGGAATGATGTTCTCTACACTCTTAAGTGCATGGCGCCTCTTGTAGATGTGCTAAGAATGGTTGATAATGAAAAGAAACCCGCAATGGGATACATATATGCCACAATGGGAGTAGCGAAAGAATCAATTGAGAAAGCTTTTAGTTCAAATTCAAGCAAGTACAAAGCTGTATTTGAAATCATTGATAAAAGATGGGAGTGTCAACTTCATCATCCGCTACATTCTGCAGGTCACTATCTCAATCCAGAATATTATTATTCTAAACCAGAAATTGAGAAAAATGGTAGATTGGTGAGAGGCCTCCGTAAGTGCATTGAGACACTTAGTGAAAGTTATGAAGTGGAAGATTTGATTTCAGAACAATTGTCACAATACAGGGGTGCTACGGGTCTTTTTGGTATAAAAGCGGCAATTAGACAAAGGTCGACATTAGCTCCAGGTAAGATGAAATAATTTTTTGCTAAATTACATGTGATACACTTTGTGTTATGTATATGGAATGAGTTTTTACAATTACTTGCAGTCGAGTGGTGGAAGTCTTATGGAGCCGAAACTCCGGAGTTGCAATTGTTGGCTGTTAAAGTGTTGCGTTTGAGTTGCAGTGCTTCCGGATGTGAGCGTAATTGGAGCATCTTTGAGCATGTGAGTATTAATTTTTTACTAGGATTTTAAAGTATCTTACATGCAAGTATTATTAAATTAATACTTCAAATTATTGTATTTTAGATTCATTATAAGAAGAAAAATAAATTGGAACATCAAAGATTGCAAGACTTGGTGTTTATCAAGTATAATCAAGCTTTGGCAGAGAGGTTTGAAATTCAGGATAAAATTGATCCTATGGAATTTAATGAAATTAATTTCCACACCGGATGGTTGGTGGGAGAGATGGAAAAGGTAGGAGATGATGGTGAAGACTTGGTTCATCCAAATGATGATTTAACTTGGAGTCAAGTTGCCGATGCTAGTGGGGCTAATGAGCCTATAATCTACACTAGGAGGACAACAAGGCAAAATGAAGTTGGAAATACTTCTCAAGCAACAACGGCACCAAGAGCAACAATTGCACCAAGAGCAACAATGGCAACTAGAGCACCAATGGAACAACAAGTGATGGAAGATGTTGAAGAAGTTGAAGATGAAGAATTGGAGGAAGATTTTGAAGAAGTTGAAGATGAAGATGAAGAAATGGAGGAATATATTGAAGAAGAAGATGAAGAGGAAGAGGAATTTTTTGATGATGCTATATGATTTCTATGTTTGACATTTGAACCTTTATGTTTGAATCTTTATGTTTTGAGTCTTGATTAAGCATTGTTCTTTGTTTGACATTTGAACCTTTATGTTTTGAATCTTTATATTTTGAGTCTTGATTAAACATTGTTCTTTGTTTGACATTAGATTTTATAAGTATTTTATGAGTGTTGTGGAATTAATTTAGTATTGCATGACATATGTTTTATACAATATGTTTATAGATTATTATATAATTATTAATATACAAAAAGTTGTCCCGCTATCCGGAATTCCGCTATTCCCGTTTTTCCCATTCCCGGAAGTTGGCCGCTCCGCTCCGCTATCAGGGATTAACAACTCTGATTAATAGTCATCAAAATTTGACTCAGGATTATGATTAATTAATTAGATTTGAACAAAATCACCATATTCCACCTTCAACATATACATGTCAAATGCTTATTGCATTACATTGTACTGCAGATTCAAATAAAAATTCCAGTAGTCTTTAACTCAGTCCAAATGAATTAAAATAAACAATCAGAAAACATATAAAATAATAATAACAATCACAAATAATAGGAAAAAGACGTCAAAATAAAGTAAAAGAAAGTAAGAAAATTCACCAGTAATGAGATTCATATCTGAGGGAACAATGCACTCATCATAGCCAGTAGTATCATCGTAATCTCCGGTCTCGGCCGGGAGACGTGTGCCATGACCACTATAGTGGACGAATAGCACGTCACCGGGCTGAGCTGATTGAAGCAACCTAGACATGGCAAATCGAATGTTCTTGCCGGTAGGTTGAGTGTAAGAACGATCTGTGTCAATGAGAACTGTGATATCTTCATCTAAAAATCCATAATTACGAATGAGACATTCTTGCATCCTCCACACATCGTTAATGCACCCTTTTAACTCAGCCTTTGTTCCTGGATAGTTGCACCCTATCAACACTGCTTTCTTAGCCATTTTATGCATGCATTTGGTTACTTCTCCTGTCTCTGTTATATCTTTGAATTTTTGAGGGGAGGGAGGAAATGGATTGATAGGATTATTGGTATTATTCAAAGTATTTTCTTGGTACATAGAATTTGTAAACGTTTTACCATTTGTATTTAATTAAAAATGATTAAAGTGAATATGCTTTTATTGGATTATCATAAAAGAAATTATATGCTTTTTATATATAAATATGGTAGATTATATCATATCTAGAAACTGGATCTAATTCTTTTAATGATTTACCAAAAAAGAAATTTTATTTAAAAGTTTGGATTTTCTACATTTTTTAAGGGTAATTTATATAAATTATTTGAGTCAATTTTAATAAATTTGAATTATACAAATTTTACATTATCAATAATTATCGATTAATAATTTTAAAGTTATACATATTAATATGATTTGTTGAGAATGTAAAATTTTTTATATTTATATTATGTTGTATAAAAAGTTATATTTTTTTATAAAAGTTAATTTTTTTTCATACTGATATTTTTTTTTCCTTTATTCTTTCCAATTATTATTAATTATATAAAATTTGAGTCATTTATCTAGAAACTACTTTCATCTTTTAGATTATTATTTTTTTTGTATTTTATAAATTAATTTTAAAAAACTAATTTGAAGAATAAAATAAAATAAAATATATTTGGTAATCTTATTTTTAAAAATGAAAAAACTTGTTTGATATATTTCTTTTTAAAATATATTTTAAAAAAAGAAAACTTGTATTATTCTTATTTTATTTTGTATGATAATTTTTAAATATATTTTATTTTAATCTATATATAGCAGGAAACTGCTCACCTCGTACAAATTTTCTCTTATAAGAAAATCCAACCACCTTAGATCTAATTAAAATATGAGAAACATCCAACACACTAAGACTAGAAATATCATTGGAATCAAATAGAGATAGATTTAATCAATCAATCCTTGTGAAACCTATAAAAAAATATTTGTTGATATTAGATTAGTTGATAGTCGATAAAATATACTTTTAGAGAATTATTTAAAAAAGAGGTTATATTATTGATATTTTGGATGATCATTTATAAAATAACAATTGCCTGTTTATAGGCTAAAGTCATCAACCTCTCAATGATGGTGAATGTTTGAGAAATTAACGTGTCACTCCTCGTCTTATACATGACATCTCCTAAATAGTATGAAAATATCAGATTATCTAGATCCAAATATTTTTTTAAAATTCAAAATTTACGTGATCAACCAGAATTTTTCAAATCTTTGGTGATATCGAAAATTTCAAGGCTGCCACGTAAATTTGAAATTTGCTGGATATACCCCTAATCAACAATAACTTTCTTAAATGATTACTGAGTGATTTTTGGTCCATAATCAATTAGATATGACTCATAATTCATTGTGAGTTGATTTTTTTTTGTGGCATGATTGATTAGACACTGACCAAAATCAATTATTGTTAAATTGTAATCCAATGTGTCGAAACTATGTGTCGAAAAGATTTGATTTGTTTTAGATTTAAATAGATTTGATTTAAATCTAGAATAAATTAGATTTGATTTAGTAACAAAAAGATATTTTGGGCTTTGGGCTTAGGGTGTAAGCTCAGTTATAAATAGAGGGAGTAATCCCTATTTTTGTAAGCAAGTCAAGCAAGTCAAACAAGTCATTCACAGTATTTTGCAGTTGCAAAGTGAATAAGAAAGTTTTCACAGTTTGTGAGCAGAGAGAAACTCTGCAGAAATTATTTGTCTTGTCTTCTTTTCTTTGTTTATCTCATAATTAAATTGTCATTGTGGTAGAAATTTATCATAGACTTTGGTGGATTTCCAACATCTGGTATCAAGAGCTTTGTTTTGATTCAAGGGAAGTGTCAATCAAGAACGATTGAAGAATTCACAATGACAAGTTATGGGAATGCAAATTATCCAGCAACCCTACCAATTTTGAAAGTTGACAACTATGAGAATTGGTGCAAACAGATGAAAGTCTTATTCAAGTGTCAAGGTCTTTGGGACCTTGTAAAAGATGGAGTCGAAGCGCTTGGAGAAAACGCTTCAGAAGAAGAAAAGAAGAAATACATAGAATCTGAGAAGCTGAGTTATAAAGCATTATTTATAATTCATCAATGTGTCAGCCCAGACAATTTCGAAAAGGTTAGTGATTCAGAATCTGCAAAAGAAGCTTGGGAAATCCTTGAGAAGTCTTTTGGAGGCGCTGAGAAAGTGAAAGAAGTGAGGTTACAAACTCACAAAAAGACCTATGAACTGCTTCAGATGGAAGACAGTGAAAGCATATCTGATTTCTTCACTAGAGTTACAAAACTAGTAAATCAAATCAAGATATGTGGATAAACGTTAACAACAAGAGCTGTTGTGTCAAAGATCTTGAGATCTTTAGCTCCTAAATTCGACCACATAGTGGTGGCGATAGAAGAGGTGAAAGACTTCTCGAAATTGACAAAGGAAGAGCTTCAAGGGACGCTTGAATCTCATGAACAAAGAATGAATGAAAGAGCTGCAGGAAAATCGAAGAGTGATGTGGCCTTGCAGGCACATTCAGCAAAAGAGACCAAAGGCAAAGGAAAGTGTTCCGACAGAGGTAGAGGTGGCTACAACAAATCGAATGGTAGAGGAAACCAAATTGAAGGAAACCTGTCGAATCAAAGAAGACCATACCAAGGCAACCAAAGAGGTGGTGTTGCAAATAGAGTAAGAGGTGGTGGTCGAAAACCTGATAAGAGTCACATTCAATGTTACAATTGTCAGAAGTATGGTCACTATTCGAGTGATTGTCCAGAAAAACGAAAGAATCAAGAAAGTGATGCAAAGCTTGTAAAACATGAAGAAGAAGAAGAGATGATGCTGATGGTCACAACAAGAGATGAAGATAGATTCAAGGACCAATGGTACTTTGATTCAGAATGTTCATCACATATGTCTGGAAGGAAAGACTGGTTCGTCAATATAAAGACCTCAATGAAAAATATGGTAAAATTTGCAAATGACAATACCCTAGCAGCTGAAGGTATTGGTGATGTTATGATTATGAGGAAAGATGGTAAAAGGTCAGTAATCTCCAATGTGTTGTACATACCAGGCATGAAGATCAATTTTCTCAGTATAGGACAGTTGGTCGAAAAGAATTATAAAGTGTCAATCGAAGATAAGATGATGAGAGTCGTTGATGCAAATGGGAGATTAATCTTGAAGGCTCTTATGTCTCAGAATCGAACCTTCAAGATTGAACTAAATGTGATGGAGCACAAGTGCCTTTCGACTACAGCTAACAGAGATGAATGGATATGGTATTATAGACTAGGCCATCTCAACTTCAGAGACATCAGAGATTTGAAGAGAAGAAATATGGTTTCAGGATTGCCAGAAATTGACATTCCAAACGAGGTATGTGAGGAATGTGTGCAGGCGAAGCAACACAAGAATAGCTTCAGCAAGGATGCATGAAGCAGATCGAAGGCTAGTCTTGAAGTCATATACTCTGATGTATGTGGAACAATCCAGGTGGATTCGATGGGAGGTAACAAATACTTTGTTACATTCATAGATGATTTCAGTCGAAAGCTATGGACTTACCTGATCAAGAAGAAAAGTGAAGTGATCAAAGTATTTACCAAGTTTAAGTCTATGGTCGAAAGACAAAGTAATCGAAAGCTCAAAGTTTTGAGAACTGATGGTGGTGGAGAATATGTGTCGAAAGACTTCGACATATTATGTGAAAAGGAAGGGATTGTGCATGAGGTGGTGCCACCCTATACTCCACAACAAAATGGAATTGCAGAAAGGAAAAATTGAACCATCATGAATATGGTGAGAAGTATGTTGAAAGACAAGAATTTACCTAAAGAGTTTTGAGGTGAAGCTGTTTCGACTGCAACATACATTTTGAACATATGTCCTACAAAGAAGCTAGAAGGAATTACTCCAGAAGAATGTTGGTCTGGTGTGAAGCCTAGCTTGAGTCATCTGAAGGTATTTGGATCTATTGCACATAGACATGTGCCAGATCAGTTAAGAATAAAACTTGATGATAAGTCAAGTCAAATGATTCTAGTTGGATATCATTCGACAGGAGGCTACAAGTTATTCGATCCAGTGAAAAAGCAGATTGTGATCAGCAGGGACGTGATCATAGATGTGTTTAAAGAATGGGATTGGACTGAAAATATCAAGAAAGATTCAGTGGGAATCCTTCTTGAAGAGACAGAAAATCAAGTCAAAAGAGAAGTTCGACAAGAGGAACCAGCAGATATACCAAGTACAAGCAGGCCTCAAAGAACAAGATACATGCCTGCAAAATTGCAAGATTGTGTGATTACATCAGATGATGTAATAGGTAATGAAGGTGAGCTGGTACATTATGCTTTCTATGCAGATGTCGAATCCGTTAATGCAGTTGAAGCATTAAAGGATTCGAAGTGGGTGAAAGCAATGAACGAAGAAGTAAAGTCTATCAAAGACAACAACACTTGGTCACTTGTTGAATTGCCTCAAGGCAAGAAGGCAATTGATGTCAAATGGGTATACAAAGTGAAAACGAATTCGAAAGGTGAAGTAACTCGACACAAAGCAAGACTTGTGGTGAAAGGATTTCTACAGAAAGAAGGAATAGACTTCGATGAAGTTTTTGCACCTGTTGCTAGGATCGAAACAATCAGGTTGGTTGTTGGTCTAGCAGAAATAAATAGTTGACACACATGTCAGATGGATGTGAAGTGTGCATTCCTAAATGGACCCTTAGATGAAGAAGTCTATGTTAAACAACCAGTTGGGTTTGTGAAACATGACGAAGAAAGAAAGGTGTACAGGCTACATAAAGCCCTGTATGGATTGAAACAAGCTCCAAGGGCTTGGAATAAGAAAATTGATAGTTTTCTAAGGGAGAAGGAATTTGTGAAGTGCACAACTGAACATGGAGTATATGTAAGAAGAAGCAAGAGTAAATTGCTTATACTATGTCTCTATGTAGATGATTTGTTGATAACAGGTAGCTGTAAAAGTGAGATCGAAGACTTCAAAGGTGATCTCAGCAAGGAATTCGAAGTGTCTGATTTGGGTGAGATTTCATATTTCCTTGGTATCGAATTCTATAAGAGCAGTAGAGGTTTGATGATGCATCAAAGAAGATATGCAGGAGAAATTTTCAAGACGTTTGAGATGGAAGAATGCAACTCAACTTCGACACCTGCAGAACCAAGACTGCAACTGTCGAAAGATGCAGATGAAGATGACGTTGATCCAACCCAATACAGAAGACTTATTGGATCATTGAGATACCTTTGTCATACAAGGCCTGACTTAGCATATAGTGTAGGTATGGTAAGTAGATTCATGCAGAAGCCAAATGTATCACATCTAGCAGCAGTGAAGAGGATACTAAGGTATCTCAAAGGAACTTTCGATTATGGCATTTTATTTCCTGCAGTTGATAAAGGAAAAGAATGCAAGTTAGTGGGATACACTGATTCGAGTTGGTGTAGTGATGCTGAAGATCGAAAGTCAACAGCATGATATGTGTTTATGCTAGGTGGTGCACCAGTTGCTTGGAATTCAAGAAAGGAACCAGTAATGACATTATCATCATGCGAAGCAGAATACATAGCTGCTTCTCTTTGTGCATGTCAAGCAACTTGGATGGTGAACTTGGTCGAAGAGATAACAGGGAAAAATCATGGAGCAATTACCATGAAGATAGACAACATGTCAGCTATTAATCTGGCGAAGAACCCAATAGCACATGGTCGAAGTAAGCACATCGAAATGAGGTTCCATTATCTTCGAGAGCAGGTAGCATATGAGAAGATGAATTTGGAATACTGCAAAACTGAGAATTAGATTGCAGACATCATGACGAAGGGAGTGCAAGTCTAAGTATTCAGAAAGCTAAGAGCCATGATGAACATAGATAGTTTAGACACAATGAATTAGGTGGTGTGTTAAATAGATTTGATTTAAGTCTAGAATAAATTAGATTTGATTTAGTAACAAAAATATATTTTGGGCTTTGGGCTTAGGGTGTAAGCTCAGTTATAAATAGAGGGAGTAACCCCTATTTTTGTAAGCAAGTCAAGCAAGTCAAGCAAGTGATTCACAGTATTTTGCAGTTGCAAAGTGAATAAGAAAGTTTTCACAGTTTGTGAGCAGAGAGAAACTCTGCAGAAATTATTTGTCTTGTCTTCTTTTCTTTGTTTGTCTCATAATTAAATTGTCATTGTGGTAGAAATTCATCATAGACTTTGGTGAATTTCCAACAATTATAAGATTTAAAAAAAAATGAAGTTTGAAAATTATTTTGAGTGATTGTACATTTCATTAATACTTCAAGAGCTTCTCTTAGTTATTTATACACTAATGATCAAAACTACATAAAATACAAAATAAAGCACAATATCACATGTGAGATTGCATAAACTTCAATTTCTTTGAAGTTATTCTTACCAATTGATTCTTTTGCTTCTTGTTTTTTTTTTATATGCTTCAATCTTTTTTTTCTTGATGATGCTAATAGTTATACTTTATTCCTCTTGTCTTCATCAAAACCTATTATACATGTTAAAGACATAGAGCCAAGTAAATCTTCTAACCATGTCTCTATTAATCCCGTTAATATTGATCTATCAAATTCATCTTCTAACCATTATTCTGAACCTTCACAATTTAAACCTCAACCTATTATAATTGAATCAACTCTCTTTAAACCACCTCAAAAATCACCCTCGCCATATCCTTCAACATCGATACCAATACTAAGGAAACATAAAAAATCATCCATCATCTCCTCATACAAATACTGAGCAAAAAACAATGCTCCATTACCCTCAAACACTACCATTCCATCTAATCAAGGAACTAATGTTGACTTACCCTTTTTAGATTCATCCTCTAATCATTAAACTCCATACATGTATTTACCCTTATGACCATGACTATTTGAAAAAGTTTTTACCCTTGTGAACATAAGGAAAGTTTTATCCTTTTGTAACATGAACTTCCACCCTATAAACCACAAAATTCCAACCAGCTTACTCTTTTTCATCAATATTAACATTTTGATAATCAAACTACCCTTGTCCGTATCGAGTTTCTACCCAACTTCAACTCTAATCCTTCTGAAAAAACTCAAGAAAGTATCCATAGAATCATAACAACAACCATAATAACAAACAAACATTCAAACCACTCCCAATAAAATCATTAATTCCTCATATTTACATGATTCCCCCTCTCATTAGGAGGCACTACTACCCCTGGTTCATCCATTGACAAGATGATGGATTTCAAACCTAAACCAAAACCCTTTACATAGTTTGACCCTTAACCAATTTATCCCACATCCTAACTTGAAACTAGGTTCCTTGATACATTTGAAAAAATCACCTTGATTTTTTCATGTGTTGGATAATTGAGTTCTTGAACCAGAAAGCCACCCTCCATTTATTGAAAATAGATTATGTCACATGGTACACATTTATTGAAAATCATATGCTGCACATATAGTCATGGATAAAATAAATATTTATTGATTGTAAAGTACTTGAAAATCAACATATTTTGTATCACTATCGATCCAATCAACACACAAAAGGAGCATTGGCATTGTCGTCACTACAATAAAGTCCAGGCTTCTGAGTATAACCCTGCCTGTGAAGTTTCTTCCTAGCCTTCAGCACAAGCTGTCGATTTGTAACTACACCACCAGTCTCTGCAATTATAGCTTGTATGGCATTGCTAAAAGCCCCATAAGCTTTTTCCAAATTTCCATCAGGGCTTGCATCTGCAGAAGTTTGGTCAGTTTGGCAACCACTCAGTAGAATTCCACTCTCCACAGTTTTATGCTTAGCTAATGTAGCATATGACATGACCGGATCTTCGTACTCTTCATCATTGTCATTCAGCTTATAGTTGACAAGTCCGTGGGTAATGTTTTTCACCATCCCCAAAATCCCACTATGAACTCCACACTCACCATCTCCCTGTTGAAATTTCTTCAACAAAAACTTAATGAAGCTCTTCACTTTAGAACTAGCATCTTCCCCGAAGATACGAAATAATGTATGTCGTATCTTTCCAATTTCTACATCATTTTCCCCGGATCTCTCCTTTAGTATGTCAATAAAAGTTGAGAGAGGAAGAGACCTATTCTTCACATAGTTGTGCTTCCCATGATGTTCTTCCTCACTATCACGATCCCTAGTTCTGTGAAGGATGTTTTTTAAGCCTGGTGATGAATTTGGTGCTCCTTCATGCGTGCTATCTCCTATTTGTTCCTTTGCTAATTCAATCAATCCACCACTGTGACAAGAATCTGATACTATTGTGATCCTACAATCCTCAGGTACCTTTGCTACAAACTCTCTGAAATCATCATCTGTTTGGCACCGAAAATAGAATTAGCATGGTTTGTCAATAATAATATAAAGTAAAAAGAAGTAACAAAACAAACCAATGATGAGATTCATATCCGTAGGAACAATGCATTCATCATAGCCAGTAGTATCATCATCATCCCCGATCTCTGCAGGGAGACGGGTGCCATGACCGCTGTAGTGGATAAATAGCATGTCACCAGGCTGAGCTGATTGAACCAACCTAGACATGGCAAATCGAATGTTCTTTCCAGTAGGTTGAATATAAGAACCATCCGTGTCAATGAGAACAGTGATATCCTCATCTAAGAATCCATAATTCTGAATGAGGCATTCATGCATCCTCCTTACATCGTTAACACACCCATTCAGCTCAGCCTTTGTTCCTGGATAGTTGCACCCTATCAACACTGCCTTCTTAGCCATTTCATGCATGCAACTACCCACCTCTCTAATCTCTCCTTTATATCTTTCAATTTTAGAGGGATATTAATGTTAAACATTTTTGTTTTGGTATAAAGAATTTTGTAAAGGTTTTATCATTTGAATTTTATTTAAAATGGTTAAAGTGAATATGCTTTACTTATTGTATCTTTTTATATACAAACTAGGTCTTAAATGTTTTAGGATTCGTTTGATTTTATTTTAAAAAAATTAAAAAGACTCAATTAGTAAAAGTTATTTTAAATTCATTTTATATAAATTAAAAGATTAATTTTTCCATTCAGAAACATAAATATAATTTGTTAAAGACTATAAAACATAATGAAAATTACATAAATTTTTAAAAGATATATCTCAAAAATATTTTTTTATAAAAAGTTATAGTAAAAGGATATTTAATTAATTTATTAAAATTTTATTACCCAAATAAAGTTTTAGTAAAAAGAAGAAATATCTTAAATAACATTTTATGAAAAAATATTTAAATCAATTTTTCTTTTTTGAAGTTTTTTAAATTTCTTTATAATTTTATTTAAACGTTTATATGTAACATTATAATTTTTTTATAAAGCTGAAATAAATAATTATTTAAAGTTTATTTGGTGCACGAAATGATAGACATGATCTTATCTTAATTTTGTGTTTGATGAAACACTAAGATAAATTATTTTTAACCTTTATGTTATCATGTCTTTTTAGTGTAAATTATTATTCTTAATTTGAGCGGGTTAAAAATTAGTAGAATAAGATAGAAAATTTGTAATACCTAAAGTCATATATCTAAATAACAATCAATGGTATTTATAAGTGGTATTAGATATGTAAATGCAAATATCTGGAAGTGGACCAGATTAAATTTTACAACAATGCGAATAAATAGCTAATCGATCAGAGCAAATCTTCAACACAGTGGAAATATGCTCCATCGAGTCCTTAGTTCCAAATTTGTCACTGTGGAACTAAATCCAAATACATGCTTACCTGAAAATATAATTAACAATGAGAGATACTAATCTCAACGAGCTTACCCGTCTAAACCATCGAGTCTCTCACTATCCTTCTACCTGATTTGAGATTTACTTGGAATGCTTATTAGAGTATTTCACATCCATCTCGCATAATCTAGTACTAGTTAACCATCTCAAAGTATCTCACTAACCCTATGAGTATTATCAAGTCACTAAAGAGTCCTAAGGATAACATAGATACTAAACCCCTTGAATTGAAATTGATCTGAGGAGATCAGACTTGGACCGTCACGGCTGGCTCCGAGCTGAAGTTTTGAACGAGATGGGGGTACCTGCAAGACACTCTGATGCTGAAGTAAGTAAGAGCACGAGCAGGTAATAGTAAGAGTATGGGTAGAATGATTATTACCTGACCCTCTGGAAACAGAGGGTATTTATAGCCCCCAGCGCTGGGCCAAGGTTCCTCCATTGGGCCGGGCAGGTTTGGCCCAATGGAGGAACTGCCAAGTTCTACGTGCGTAGTAGGGACCCGCACGTGGTCCCCTCCCTGGATGTTCTGCGTGAAGCGCGGGCGGACAGGGACGCGGTCTTTTCGGAGTCCCGTTGAGAGTGCAGTGGGTCCTGCCCACTGGCGAAGGAGCGCTCGAGCTGACGTCGAGCTGGACAATGCGAGGACGGGGGTGTCGCCCAGTGACGTGTGTCGGGCACAACTGTGGTCCTTAGGTCGGCGTGACCCCTAGCAAGTCCGTTTGGATTGGGCCTTTATCGTTGCCATTGGGCCAGCCGGGCCCAGTCCAGAACAGGAGCCTCCCAAGTCGTGGTTCCTTGGGTTAGGAGCCATGGCTTGATCTTAGGTTGCTTCCGTTTCGGGGCCCCGCACCCGAGCAAGGGACGCAGCTCCTCGTGGGGGTACTCGAGGGTTTCCCCGTATCGTGCTCGGGGACAGGTCCCCCGCGAGGAATGCTCGGGGATTCCTCAACAGCCTGCGTCTGTCGAGCACGCGAGGTATCTTTTGGGAACTGTGCCGCCACCCTATGAGGATAGGGTCATCATTGCCTAGGGGAGCTGCGCGTCGAGGAGGGGAATCCGTGGTTGCCCGAGGTGACGTTTGGTATTCCACGTCATCACTATAAATAGGATCCTTGAGCCCCAGAACGTGTTACTACTCTTCGCGCTTCTCCTCTTCGCTCTGTTTCTGCTGCTGTTGTTCTTCCCAGATTCTCATATCATCGCTGCGATCTCCGTCACCGATTCCTTTCCTCCGTCGTCAAATCTACTCCTTGATTCCAAGTAAGTGACTTGTCTCCTCTGTTTTTCGGTTGTGATGCATGATTTTCATCGTTTTAGACGTCTTTTAGAGGCTGTACGCGTGGGACTAGCCCGGTAAACTTATGTTCAGCCCGACAAATTCATGCATGAAGTCGGCAAACGCATGTTCGTGGCCGGTAGATACATAGTTTAGGTTATAATCTGCAGTGCTGCCCGGGGTCTTCATGATCCAGGGCGCCAAATTCGTGATCGTGCCTGGTAGATTCATAGCTCTAGCTTTAGGCTTTATGATGTTGCTCGCCATGTTCATACCCCGGGTCGGCGTATTCATGAGCGACCGCGTTGTCGGTTTATTTAGGCGGCTGGAAGTCGAGGAGGTGACTGCTATTTTTGTTTCAAACCAACTTTGTGGTCGTGCGTGGAGCGACGTGGTTTGTCGCGCACTTCCTCTTGTCCGTTACGACGAGCGTATGGTTTCGTGCCCAATTGACTGGTTTCCCGTGCTCTGTAGGTAACCATGGCGGACGAGCCGTGCTCTTCAGGACGCCCCGAAAGGGAAGAGCAAAGTGTCGATGAGACTGTGAGTTTGATCGACACCGTAGAGGACCCTCTGTTGGACTGGGTGGGTGCCGAGCCTAGAGGAATCGCCTCGGTCTATAGTCGGCGCAACCGAAGGCCATACGCTGTCCTTGAGGCGGGCCACGGCCAGCCCGATTTTCAAAAGAACTTCGTCGTTACTAGACCGACCTTCACTGCTCGGATTTGCTCGGTGTTCCCCGAGTACATTTTCCCCATGTACGAAATTGCATTCAAAGACCTTGGGTTGCAGCTGCCCTTCAGCGACTTTCAGGTCGGGGTCTTTAGCCATTTGGGGCTGGCCCCGTCGCAGCTACATCCAAATTCGCTCGCCTTTATCTGGGCGTTTGAGCTGACCTGTCGTTTTCTGAGGATTGGGGCGACTATACCTCTCTTCTTCAGAGTCTTCCATCTGCAGCGCCAGTCCCGGGGAGGAAAGCATAGCTGGGTTTCCCTGAAACAGTCGAAGAGACTTTTCAGGATGTACATGGACTTTGTGCGGGGTTTTAAAGACAAGTGGTATGTCGTGAGGCCAGTTACCACAGCTGCTTTAGAGTCCCTGTACGAGGAGGAAGCGGTGATAAGCGACGACGACGGGGAGGCACTTTTAGACAACGAAGGGCATCCGATGTTGGGACGCACGGCCAAGTTTCCCGTGCATTGGATCTCTAGGCATTATGAGCACGATACTGGGTATTATCACACTTCTGCGGGCGACATGGGTTCCGAGGACGAGAAGGCTTACGACACTCTTTGTCGGTACGTTGATAGCTTCCACCCCGCCAGATGGGCCACGAGGGAGGGGGAAGATGTCCTGGACGAGGAGGGTTATCCGACCTTCGAGGCCCGACCGATTGATACGAAGGCACTCGTGGAGTGCCAGTCATTCGGGCAGGCTGCGCGTCTGCTAGGTTGTTTATTGTTTGAATTTCTTTGCTTGTCGTTTGTTTGCTTATTTGCTCGGCACTAACCCGGTTTTTTATTTTGTGCAGGTTCGATGGTCGGACGACGGGAGAGGCTCTTGAAGTTGTCCTGTGACCGGAGGGCGAACAAGAGGGTGGTGAAGGCTCCTCAAGCAACGAGGATGGGCCCGCCGCATAGTCCAGACGCTTCTCATGTGGTGAGGGTGGATTCGTCGCCTAGCTCGGGGGCTGCTCCAGAAGAGACCCCGGAGGTCCAGGAGGTCGAGCCACATGCCAACCTGATACCAAGAAAAAGGAACCGGGTGGAAAGTGGGCCGACGGTCGGCGAGGATTCCAGCGCCGTAAGGTCCTTCGGGTTGCCCCCTTGCTTCAAAGAAGAGGGTTTCTTCGAGGGGTTCCCTTTGTCCGTGACTGCCGATGAGGCTGAGGCCATCAAGAGGATGAGCAAGGAGGACCGGAGGAGGCACCTGGCCGCCAATATGGCCGGGCTGGTGAAGATGGCTGAAATGGCCGTTGTGCTATCCGAGGAAGGGGAGGATCCCGACCGCATCAAAGAATTGGAACAGGAGAAAGCGTCCCTCACCTCGAGTTCGCGAAAGTTAAGGACTGCCCTGGAGCGCTCCGAGGAGATGTTCCGCGAGCAAGCCGCGCTGCTGGCTGCCGAGAGAGAGATGCTGACTCTGGAGAAGGAGAACTCGGGGAAGCTAGCCGAGGAGAGAGAGCTTCTCCGTGCGGATCGGGAGCGTTTGGAAATCGACATCGGGCGCGTCATTAGAGAGATCGAGGACCTGAAGGTCGCCATGCTTCCTGCCGAGGATGAGCCGGAGGATATAGCCGCTTTGAGGAGTCGATCGGAGCTGGTCGCCCGTATCCGGCTCCTCGAAGCGGATTGTGTCGGCGCTATGGAGGAGGGGTTCGAGTCCGCGGTCAACCAGCTTTCCTTACTGAATCCCGGTTTAAACACTGAAGGGATGGGCTACATGTCTCAGATCATGGATGGCACGATCGTGCCCCCGCCCGACTCTCCTGTTGTCAGTGATGATGGCTCTGGGGAAACTGAATTGTAAGATGATGATGGGCCTGCGTGCCTTGTTGATATTTGTTTTGGGCCTGCGTGCCCGTTCGTATTTTTTGGGCCTGCGTGCCCGTTGGTTGTACTTCCTGAACATCGCCGGCCTTCTTGGTCGGTTTATATTTATTTGCTCTGTTGCCTACGGGCATTTTTGAATGAATACTTTGTTTCAATTTTGATTGT